TAATAGAATTGCATGAACTTGCTAATGTGTCTATCACATTTCCTTGCGTATTGTGTTAATTTTCAGTATTTTATACTGTGTTTGATCTGAGGAAAGAAACGTTTCCCAGATATTAGCTCATCAGTATAGTACACGTTTATCTGTACCATTTGTTGGGACAGACAACTTACTGCACTTTAGCTTTGGTAAGGAGACGGACTATGGCCAAAATCAAGTAGATCTCTCACACCAAACAATGAAGATGAAAAGAAACGGGAAGTCAACAAGAGACATTGTACAGCATTTGACTTCTATGGATATCTTTGTTTGTGAAAGCACAGTGACATTATAAAGTTGAGAGGAAGCAAAGAAAATCTAAACCAAGGACAATTAAAATAATGTGTCTGGTCATTATAAACATTATTAATTTAATAATAATAATTTCAAGCTTCTTGTTTCTTTTTCAGATTCATTTTTTCTTCGGTTTTCATAAGCTTTGCTTATTAAAATACCTATTTATGAGACACGATGTTTCAGATGACAATAACTTTGTGAACAAATGACACAGAGCCTTTAACCCGCTGATATTAGGACACAGAATTGTTAAAAATGGGAACAGGTGAGGCAGGCAGAGGGAAGGGGGAGGTGGGAGACGTCTTCCCACCTCTATGACTATAGAAAGTGTATTAAAACACTCTTTGGTCACTACACTGTCCACTTAACCTCTTTCCCACAGTGTCATGGGGACAAGGTCAAGTAGCTGATTCACAGCTGGATACAATTTTATCTTGCAAAAATTCATATATTTGTCAACATATTTACTAAAACTATCCATCTCAGCAATCTCACTGTTAGTTTCACTGTACGCCCCAATGCTTACTCAATGTTAACCCTCCCAGTAAAATAAAAAACCTGTTTCCCGCATTGTCACCTCGCAACAGGGGGGAAGGAAAAGTCCCCGTGGTCATTTTTTTCACTGACAGACAAAGTTGATTAAAACTCATTCAAAGGGAATGTCAAATGTTTTCAAAATGTCCCCTAGTGATATTTTAGCTGCTTAGTTACATGACTCCATATTAATATTACTATCAAGAGGTATTAAATCAGGACAACTTTTATGAAATTCAAGTATTTTAAACGTTAAAATAAAAAGTAATTTTAAACTATCTAAATCATTTTTTACAGCTTTTAAAGTAACGCAATGTTTGAGTTAGGCAGGAACACGTCATTGTATCTTATTTTTTATGTCAATTTTTTTTTAAAACCGTTTGCCCATCGTGTTGATGCTCAGCTGGCTGGCACCGAGAGAGGTAGGAGACGTGGAGCTCAATGGCTGTTCTATAAAGCGGGGTGCGAATGGCACCGATTGCATCTGCATTCATAACTTAGTGTTTAAAATTAAACAACGTAAATCACTTTCTTTGACTTCTAAGTCCCTTAATTATCATTAAGCACAGCTTTCTCACCACTTAGATTATTTTTTTAGTTTTGATATGTTTTGATTCATTTCAGAAAATTTTCATCTGTACAAACACCACAAAACTATTCTCGATTGTATTTCTGAATGTTATGTCACACTTAGTTCATTGTTTTAAATACATCTAATTAAGAAAGTTAGACATTAGCATAAACTATTAGTAATCAATAGTATTAAATTTAGCACTATAATAAATTATTGCACTTTTCCCCACATCTTGTAAAAATATATTTTCATTGTTCAAATATATATTAAATCTATCAGAAAATAAGTTCAATACAAAATTAAAGAAAAAATAGGGTAAGACATAATTCAGAATATTTTGCTAATGATTAACTGTTTATAAAAATAAAATGTATTAACTAAGGAATAGGATGGCACTGTTGTTAGCATGCTTTTTATATGTTTTTTTTTAATAAATACAACAGTAGAACCAGATGTCTCAGTGGCTTTCAAAATTAAATTATGCATGCAAACCTGTGAACTAAAAAGATAACTAAGCTATCCATCCATTTCTAGCAGTGGCAAAGTGGGTATCAGTGCTATCTTGGAGCACTGGAGCCCTAGGTCCAATTCCTGCCGAGAGTTTGCACGTTCTCTCTGAGTTCTGTAGGTTTTCTCCATATGTGTGATATGATTTCCTCTCGCAGTCCAAAACTGGTAGGATAATTGGCTTACGGGAAAACTGGCCCTGGTGTGTGTGTTTGTGTCTGTTTGTCTGTCCTGTGATGGATCGTTGCTATGTCCAGGGTGTATTCTGCCTTGCATCCGTTGCTTGCTGGAATAGTTTCCAAATCCTCTGTACTGGATAAAGAGATTAGAAAATGGATGGAAGTAACGGCACCTTGTGGATGGAACTATACACAGTGTTGGAAACCTACAGTGCTATGAGATGGAAGCATCTCACTGAAGATAAATTATTTTATAGTGCTGGCTTAAGGAAACAGCCTTTCCACCTCTCTTGCACATCAGTATCCATACCTAGTTAGTTATTTAAACAAATTGCCTCTAAATATAAACATCTTAAGATTCTGGCTCTGTGGATCAGTATCAGCTGTTTGCCCATTCCTTCAATTTATGTGCATCAAACACACAGTTCAATGCTAGCAACTACACAAAATCTAAAATACAATCATCATTTCAGTATCTATGTAAACATACAGTACAGTCTGTTAACTTCATCATCTTCCTCTGCAGTCTATAACATCTCCTGTCATTTTGTCAAAAGTATGCATAACCCTATTAGGAAGTGTTCTTGTTATCGGCGTATTCCTCAACTTTCCCCAAATTATATTTTTCTTACCAACATCTCTAGTCTTACATCCTGCAAAAACTCAGCCAACACTGAGTCAAAAACTGCATGTGTTAGTTTGTTTAAATCACAAATATCATACGTAAATACTGGCCATGTAGTACTCTGCTTTGTGGAATAATAGTTTCTTTTAAAGGGAACTAGAGAAACTAGAACTAGAGAAATCAAGAAAGGCTTTTTTTCTAGAATTAATAAATACACATCCTGTTCACTGGGGTAATTAAATCCACACTGAGCCATCTCCAATACATTCAGAATCTGACAGCTATAATCCTGATCGGGTTGCATTACGCCTGTCTTCAAGTCCTTGCACTGGCTTCTTATCAGGTTTTGAATCAACTTCAAAATCTTCATCCTCATTCAGCACCTATCTGGCTTATTATCTTTCTACCTTTCTCTCCACCTTGAAACCTTTGTCCATCTGACTATGGTCTTCTAGCTGTCCTCAAGATCACCTACATTCTGTGGTTGACAGGACCCTCTCTAGCTGCACCTTCAGACCCCGGGTGTGAAGAAGGCTCCACAGCCAAAACATTGTGTTTTCTTTCTTCTCTTTTCAGCATGGAATAAACCTATTACTTGTTCCTTTGCAGCCTATGCATGCTGA